TATATATACATATATAATATGGAAGTTGTGGCTGCAGTCCAGCTCCTGAGAGCATACGTATGCTTGTAAAGATTCTCAGTCATCCAGGACATGGCATGTCTAAAAATTAACCAATAATATGAATGTTGTCTTTTTAGGAGGGATCAGTTGAAGAGAAGTTTCAAATTTTAAACTGTGGTAATTGAGAAAGACGTGAAAAAAGATAGGACTTGTGACCTGTCCAGGGTGTACCCCGCCCCCACTCTGTGACTGCTGGATATGGGCACCTGTGACCCCCGTGACCTTGAAAGGAAGAAGTGGGTATAGATAGATCATGGATGGATGAATGGATGAAACAAGTCCTGTATCACAACAGATCAAACACTGATGTAAAATAAAGTTGTTGTTTTTTTTACATCCACCTTCTGAAAAAAACAGAAAAAGTAGACGGCAGAAGAGAGGACTGCAGCGTAGCCTGGACTGAGCGGGGCCTTGATAAGCAGCGAGATAAAAGAATTACTTACTCTCCTATCTCTGATGAGATAGTGCCCTTATACACAGAATGATCGCGCTGTTACGGTTACTGATTGGATTTCTCTTGCCAACAGATCACACCGCCATAGATACTGATGGCATTGCCAAGGTAACTGATCACTTTGTCAAGGAAACCGACACGGCTCGAGAAAGAGAGTGGAAAGAAACTCAGAATATTTACTTTATATTTTATTTTTCTGGTTAAAGTTAATTAAAGGATTGGTTAAAAGGGACGATCCAGGATAATCATTACCACAAGGCTTAGACAGGTGCTATGTTCCAAGTGGATTGTTAAGGTTAAAGTCTGCATCCTTAGGCAATACAGTACCATTTCTAAAGCAATGTCTCTCTCCCTGAGTCTGTTTTCATTGGTTTGCATTTGTTTGTGCTCCTGAATCAATAGCAGCGTCATGGATGAGAGTCCACCTATATAATACATGTGACAGAATGTCCCTGGCTCGCTTTAAAGTGGTATTGATCATCGCAGTCTCCCTCCAAACAGCATCTCATATATCCTCCCCTAAACATGTGGGAGGCCTTCTCAACGCATTGCTCATGGTTACAAATATAACACTGCTGACCAACGCTTAAAAAAAAAGCTACATGATTGCTGAGTTTTTATTTCAACAAGTTGAAAACTCACATCTCATTCCTCCCACATGACTTGCTCATATTCTTCCTACTAAATCCAACAAATTTGTGTCCCGCTGGTGTCACAGATACCACATTTCTTCGCCGGGCAGCTTTAAAAGTTCAAAGGAATGCTTTTTCTTTTAGTAACAGAATGACATTTAGCCTGAGGCATATTCACCTGGATAAATACAAAAATAATGAAAAAAAATAACACAACAGGCTGAGCTAAATTGGGCAAATGTGGAGTTTGTGCTGTGTGATTTTTGCTGTTTGTGTTCTTCCTCTAATTAGGCTCTGAATGCGTTTTTCTGTGTGAGAGACTGAAAGAGTGTGTATGAAGCACAAAGGGCCAATGAGGGCAATTTAGACACTTTAATGCCCCCGCTGYGGAAGAAGGTTCAAGGACAGATCGCTGACTCTCTTTATCACTCTTTCTAATTCTCTTCGTCTCTGTTGTTTYCGTCTGTCTTGTCTACTGCTTTCGCTTCTTCTCTTCCTGTGGGACATTTAGCAATCCATTCACCGCGCTCCATTAGGAGACTCCACCCTGCCCCACACAGACACACACACACACACACACACAACACATTCAGACGCTCCAATTAGTGGCTAAACCAGAAACTAAGCTCAATTAGAGTGAGCAGAAATCTTCCAAGCCCTTGTGGATTTATCATGTGTGTGTGTGAGTCTGTGTCCACACCTTGTTTGTGTTTGTTACAATTAGATGTGTGTCTGCTTGCAGCCAGAAGTCGTTACCTGGCTGTAGGACGCTGATGCCGAGCAGGTTGGAGGTGCGGTTGGCCACTCTGCTCCAGCTGTTGTCGTAGTTCTTCCTCCACAAGACGGCGGTGCACTGGTACTTCCCGGCTTCGCGACGTCCCGCTCGGGTGACCGACAGGCGGAAGTTTGTGTTGGAGTGCGAGCGGTCCACCGTGGTGCGGGTGCCTAACCCGAGCAGCTGCTCCCCCCACTGCAGCGTGCCTTCACGGGTGAACGTCACCAGGTCCTTGAAGTCTCCCCGATCCTCGTCTTCGGCTCGGGTGCTGGCGGGCAGGAAGCGCCAGGTGACGGACGTGGGGACTTGTGGGTTGTGGCGAGGCTTTACCAGGCAGAGGAGGTCAAATGAGTCACCAAATGATACAGACGGTGTCCGCGATGAGGCTGAAACCATGAAGGAAGACTCTAGATGGTGAGAGAAAAGGGTAAGATTAAAGTGCAGTCTGTGGCATGAAAAAAAGCAGCAGTTTATAATAACTACACCTTATTTAGCCTTACTTCATTATTAATAGATAGTTATTTAAAGGGATCCACGATTAGTTGTAACATTAAAATTTATTT